TAAGATGTACTTAGCATTGGAAAATATGGTCTTCTTAAGATAAAAAAAATGCCTTCTTTTGGTTGTTGGTGATGACTTGTAAAGTGACACTTTCTCCTGGTAGCGACACTTTCCCCTTGTAGCCACGCTATCTTCTTGTAGCCACACGTTCACCTTTTGGGAACCCCCCTTTTTTTTTTTTTCCGAGGGCGTGTAAAAAAAAGTGAAAACTTTTAACCCTAATCGGGGCCCTTTTTTTTTTTTTTTTTTTTTTTTTTTTGTTTTTTTTGTTTTTTTTTTTTTTTTTTGTCCCTTTTTGTTCTTGTAGCCTTACGTTCACCTTTTGGGAACCCCCTTTTTTTTTTTTTTCCGAGAGCGTGTAAAAAAAAGTGAAAACTTTTCAACCTAATCAGGGCCCTATTTTCTTACCGCTAACTAATCTTCCAGTTCAGACGTTGCCGGTAGTTACCTAAATGCTGTGGTCGATGTAGTAAGGGATTACGTTAGACGGATAACTTTAATTAATGACAAACCATTACTTTACCCAACAGATTTGGCCAGCCAAACAAGCTTACGTCATCAATGGTCGGCGCGCTTGTTAACCAAGGAACACGTCACGCGCATTGATTTTCCCAATCCTATTTGATTTGCTATTCGTGTTTGTGCTAGGGATCTACCGACGTCCCCATAATTTGTTTGAGAATTTCCGGGAAAAAAGAAAAAAAAAAAAAAAAAAAAAAAAAAAACCCAGGAATTTCGGAAATAATCATTTGCCATTGATTGAACAAGGTTTCGGAAGGAACAGAGTCTCTGGGTAACAAAGGGGGGTTTCGGCGTCTGCATTCGTCTGGTCCGAATGGAACACAATCTCACAGACAGTCTCAGGGATAAACTGACAGCTTCTTTTTAACTAGCTTGTCCGGGTGGTCAGAAAAGATAATAGGACGGTGCTTCTAAGAATAAAATTTGTTGTTTTTGTGAGTGTGTGTGTGCAAGGACTGACTTGTGGATCACTTTAAACAGAACCACAGGGCTTAGTAAAGTTTCCAATTTAATTTGAAAATGTTAGAGGAGCGTCATAGCCCCAGAGGCAGGACATACTTGTTTAAATGACGTACTAATGTCTGCCAATGTATTTATGCTAGTTAAAATGCGACGATAGAACCAATGGATCTACATTATAGACTGACTATATCTCAAACACAACATTACTGTTGACTATGCCTTGGTCTGTTCAGTTCCAACGGGGAAAAAAAAAGGGGGGGGGGGGTTAATGAGTGTATTTTTGTGTGCGGTGTGAGCTAGAGATTATTGTCGTTGTCATAGAGATTTAAGTAAATATAAACGGGGATTTTCCGGTAAAGTTCCATGAACATCCAATAAAATATCAAACATTTACTGCCAGCAGTCAGTGACCGTGGGGCATAATGAAATGTAGAAGGCAGGGATGACTTTTTTGGGGGTTTCAGTTTGTTTTATCATAGTAATTGGCTGCGTCTCTCTCGGGTGAAAATAGTATTCAGTCTGTATGTCAAAGTACTTCAAGCCATTCCATACCTGCTACTGGTATCATCCATCTTCCTCAGACGTATTTTTTTTTGTTTTTAGATTAAAAACTTCAAAAATTCCCAGCTTCCAACTCACACAAAAAGTGTGTGTTTGTTTATATTGAAACTCAAAATTCAAGTACGAGCCCAACAATGCGCCTAATAGAACCGTTTGCTGGCTTTACACAATGAAAAAAAAAACGATCAGCTGTGCTCCTGTTCAGTAGTAAAAACACACAGCAATATTTTAGACGAGCCATTTTAACATAATACATGCAGTGGCAAATGAAAAGTTCACATGTGGTCATTGAGCAAGAGGCCAAATAGCGGAAATGGGCAAAATGTGTTTGGTTGCAAGAGATACATGAAGTTGAGGGACGGCAATAAAAAAATAAAACAAAATGGATGCTCGAGAGTTTTTAGCTTTTAGCTCGGATGCAGCAAATCAGATGTTCTTATTGGCACCGAAAATTCAGTAACAATCTGAGTGAACTTCAAAAGATGATAATGGGATATAAAACAAGGTAACTAGGAAATTATTTTCATGCCTTAGCTATCGAAATTACTTCCCCTGATTTTTTTTTTCTCCCCTGACAATAATTATTTTAATTATCATTATTAACATTATTTTTTGTACAAAACTTAAAGAGTTTTCTTAAAATTTTTTGAACGTCATTAATTAATCCTACGGGGAAATAAAAGAAACATTAATTTTTAAACGGTTGAAAATAGCTCTATTTTAATGAGCTTAATTCTTTGTGTTAGAATACTGAGTTAGACGAGGTAAAACTTCAAACAGCACATTGATTGCATCGATATCTAAGTCATAATTTAACAAATAATTAAACGACAATGGCATTTCCAAACGTCTGTATAATTATCTTGTGCACAATAAAATTAATGAAGTACATGATGATACATACATTCTTTATTGTCTTGGAGAGTCATTAACTCTAAACAAATTATGCTTGCAACTGAGCAAATATTCCACATAAATGTGATTGTCTAACCATTTATATATCTTTATAAATATATATATACATATATATATATATATATAAATTTAAAATATATATATATATATATATATTATATATATATACAAATAGAGAGAGGGGGGGAGAGAGAGAGAGATACATATATAGATATATATAGTTCGTACTAGGCAATTTACTTGAGACTATAAGTTATGTGGTGGGGTGGTGAATATACATTGCTGTTCTTTATTTCATAAATGTATTTTATTTTAATGTCATGATTATGTCTCTTTTGATAAAAAAAATTTTGTACAGCGCGGTGAGCCCAGCCCTAGGCTGGGGTACCGCGCTATATAAGACGTCTTATTATTATTATTATTATTATTATTATTATTATTATTATTATTATCATTATTATTATAAGCAAGTTATGACGCAGCTTGAGTCAGGAATTAAGGCATCCGGGTTTTACCGGAGCCAGGATTTAAATCAACAATTGACAAATAGATGTTAAGGCTTGCAAATAAAAGACACTTAAGCGTACGTTTCGCCCAGATGCTGTCCTTCAGCAGACCATACACTGATTAACAACAGACAAATTTAAATGTTTTTAAAAAAAAATCAACAACAACAACAAAAAACTGATGTTTTTCAAGATCGCCACAAGGTCTGTGGCGGCTCAATGTTCAGAAGAGGATGCGCTCTTCGTCATTGTTAGAAACGGAAGCTGAGTTGTCTCCACATCAAATCGTGCGGCCCCGCATTCTTGAGCGGCGCGTGCTATTAGGGTAAAAGAATTTAAGTATCATTAAAGTCAAATGTTCAACAGCAAAGCCTGACAATAGAAAAAAGGAGCGAACTAAAGGATTAGTACAGCTCGAGACGCCCGCTTAATTGTCTTGCCTTTCAGTTTCCAAGCCTAAACACGTCTTTGTTCCCACATTTATTTATTTTACATGGCTAAAGTTGTAGTCTCTCATTTACTACCATTCAGGCTTTATAGCTCCTCTTAAATCTGTTGTCAATTTCAAACATAAGAGCTAGACAATTTGGAGACAAAGTATTTGTAAATTTTCCGAACGTAAGCAATGAGTAATATATGTGAACATACGAACAGAGCTAACGATGAACATCTCCATACAGACTCTTTACATAGGTCCATTTAATAACGTAATATGTACAAAAGTCAGCCGATAAATATGTAGTTGAGGCTCATATTAAAGTCAGTCACATACGATGCACACATACATCCAGTGAATTTTATTACAGGTCCACTTGATGCTATTATATATATGTAATGTTTTTAATAATGATTTAAAATCCAATTCACTAAGATGACAATCATTACTAAATCACGTTAGTTCCATTCATTCTTTAGCGGTACAAATCTCCAACCCCCCCCCCCCCAACCCCCCTCAAAAAAAAA